CCACATGGAGATGCCAAAAAACCCCTAAACCAACCGCCTGCTGACTGCATGTCTCTACTACTACAGTACACGGATCCATTCAGTATAACTAAACACAGCAACATAAACATTACAAATCAAAACATTATCGTGAATGTGTGTGGAAACAACGTGAATGTACGGAAATGTCTGTGCCTGTGCATAAATACAATGTGTGATCAGTGCGTCAAGAGCACTCATACATGCATTAATATAACGGACTCACGCATGCTTACTGTACTGCACGACTCCTGTACGCCACCGCAATCGTCTTTACCTTGATTGCAGTCTTCATCCATTAAAACTTTACTAGCGAGACTGGTTATCCAGTCGAGAAAACGTAGTTTGCGTCTCATCTGGCCATACAGCGGTGGGATGTGTTGACAATCCGTTCAGTCTGTACTTCACACAGCGCGACATGTGAGGGCTCGCGCTCTTCAGAGACAATCACAGAATATGACAGAGCTCGTGTTTAAAAGCGAAACACACTGGCATGAATAATTCACTGAAAACGCAACATGAGTCCTCTGTTCTCTCTGCAATCTCTGATTTAATCAGCCTGGTTTCCTTTATATTAGCGCTGTTTTGGACGGACTGTTTGACTGTTTGCATTCTCTCACTGGATCATTGGACTGAAAACTTTCCCGGAGTTTAGCAGCTTAAAATTATCTGATTGCAAGCAGAGAAGCAAAATTGGGTTAAAGGGTTTGAATAGAAGTTGTGCTTCAGTAATTTTGCGTTAATTGCGTAAAATTATTTAAAGGATTGTAAAATTTTACAATCCGTGTTAAGGATAGTAAAATTAATCACATGCGTTAACGCTTTAACGTTGACAGCCCTAATATACTGTATATATATATACTAACTAATATATAATGTGGACAAACTGCACATTTCACACAAAATTGTTTGGTGTGATATGATTCCAAATTTAGTTCTGTCAACAAGCTTTCCACCCCCCCATCCCTCCAGAACCGCCCCTGCTGGCAAGCTGTTGTACACCATAAGCTAGCATTTTTTAGTGTGTACAATTGGAAGTTTGGCTTGAGTGTCCACATACTGTACTTTCTGGGTCCACTGAATAGGCTATTACTGATCATTGGCCACTACTATTATTCAAAATCAAGAAGCTGACACTTAAAAAAAAATTTAAATACTAGATGGGATGTAAAATTGTATGGTAAGAATACATGAAGCACTGCCATACAGTATAAGCACTTGTTTGAGCTAAAATGTTGCATTATATGCATTAACTGGTAAAATCTGGGGCACTTCCTGCTACATCATTTCCTGTTTCCTTTCACACAGATGAAGATTGGTATCACAGAGACTGAGATACAGGAGATGACCAAAGAGAGGATGCAGAAAGTGGACGAGATCAAACAATCACTAGTTGATATGAAAGTGAGTAACGCAGAAGCTTCACTTGTTTTCTTCATCCCGCACCATCTAAAATTCAAAAGTCTTAGAGAAAAGTGAACAGCTATGGTTTTAACGTCAGCTGATTTTTAGTGAAGCAGTGTCAGGGTTTTTCATCATCCTTAAATCTAGATATATGATGAAAACCTTCCATCATCCTTGCTTCTGCTTCCCCTCTGTGCTCCAGATGTTGTCAGAGCATGAGGTGCAGCGCAGCATGCAGCTGTTTGGAGCTTTGATAAGCTCTCTCGAGCGCAGTCAGGCCGGGCTGCTGGAAGTGACTGAGATAAACCGTCGCTCAGCAGAGCACCAGGCTGAGCTCATGATCAGAGAGCTGGAGCAGGAGATCACAGAGCTGAGGAAGAGGGGCACAGCGCTGGCTAAACTGGCCCAGACTGAAAATTACATCACTGGACTGAAGGTCTATAATGTTGTTATGTGTCAAGACAACATACACATGCCTTAGGCATCAGATTTCATTTAAGTAATAGACTGTCCTGGTCATCTTTCCAGTCTCTTCTCTTCTACTATTTATTTTATTTTAAATGTCATAGAGACAGAAATCACCTCAATGCCATGGCAAAAGCATAGCAACACACACACACACACACACACAAACTCAGAATACCTTAGCAACCACATACCAAAGCCCTTAGCAATCATTCACAGCACCACAACACAACCATGTTTTGCTCTGACAAAAACCATTCTGAGGAGGTACGACTGCCAATTAACAGTATTTTAATTAAAAATAAAAACTGCACACAACCGATCAAAAGATATATATATTTTTTTTGAAAGAAGTCTCTAATGCTCACTAAGGCTGCATTTATTTGATAAAAAATCCAGTAAAAACTGTAATATTGTGAAATGTTATTACAGTGTAAAATAGCTTTTTTCTGATGATTTTTAAAATGTAATTTATTTCTGTTATGGCAAAGCTAAATTTCAAGAAACATTTTTTATTATTAGCATAACTGAAAAGAGTTGTGCAGCTTAAGTTCAAAAATAGCATTTATTTGAAAGAGAAATCATTGGATCGATGTAATAGTCTTTACTGTTACTTTTAATCAATTGAAAGCATCCTTGCTGAATGAAAGTATTACTTTCTTTCAAAAAAATAAAAAAGCTAATAAAATCTATATTTAAAGTTATATATATATACACACACCAATCACCTTTCTTTATCAGTTTGCCAGAGGAGTTAAAAATGGTATACGACATTTTACAGTGGGAGCAGTCTGAAAATAAGGGGGGAGATAAGCATGACTTGGCAAACATCAAGCTCAACAATTGCTCCTGGTCTTCCTCAACAGGGCTACTCTGACGTCAGTGCTCCCATGTCGATGAAAGACTGGACGGGCGTCTCACTGACCTGTGATCTTGGAACTAAAGCAGTTTACAGCTCTGTCTGTCAGCTAGTGGAACAGTTTAAGGAGGAGCTTCAGAAAGTACCTGCAGTCTGTGAGTGACACCTGTCAAACACAACACTACAGTGTCATCTAGTGGCAGATGGAGAACTTACTTCATGTGTTTTCTTTCGGCTCTAGGCCTCTCTGTGTCTGCTAGCCAATCACTGGTGAAGTCACACCCAAGTAAGTAAGACTTCAGCTGGCAAGTGTTAGTCTTACCATGATTCATTATTTAACTCTGGATCTAGAATTACGAAATGCATTTTTAAACTTCATCTTTTCAATAACAATTATCTTATTTTAATGTTTTGCAGAAGTGAAGAGAATACAGGAATATGCAGGTATGTGTTAAAGATTAAATTTTACTGCAGTGTATATATAAGCAGGTGCTGTAAAGTTGTTTTTTTCTCTCAAGACTTGATAACAGGTTTGCCCTGTTATGTGTAAAGTCCTAAACTGTTGAGATAACAGTTTATTGTTTGTTAATTCTAGCACATCTCATCTGTATCCCTTGACGGCCATAAGAACTTCAGTTCTGTTGTTCTTGTGCAAGTTGTTCTTGACTTGAATTTTTCTGAGCATTTCAGAACTTGTCAAGCAGTATGACATTCTATAATTAATCTAAAACTATGTCAAACTGCATTTTTCTAATTTGCTTGATCATTTCTCATTTTTATTTAATTAATTATTATGTACATGCTTTTAGATGCCATTATGTTAATTGAGACAAATCATAGATTTCTGTGCATTATACTTCTAAACTAAATAAAAAGGGCTATTTATTAGTTATTTGTTAATTTGTCTTTTATATACAAATTAAATTTAATATAAATGAGTTTAAATTAATACAGTTTCAATATAATTAAATTAAAGTTAGAATAGCACCAAATTTAAAAAAAAAAAATTATTCCTGTGGTGGTAAAACTACAATTTCATCATCATTACTTCAGTCTTCAGTGTCACAAGATCCTTCAGAAAGCATTCTAATATGCTGATTTGGTGCACACACACAAAAAAAAAACTTGAAATCAAAATATTTTGTGACATTACACTTAAAAATCGTACTGACCTCAAAGAGCATGTGTGTGTGTGTGGATAGATAGATAGATAGATAGATAGATAGATAGATAGATAGATAGATAGATAGATAGATAGATAGATAGATAGATAGATAGACAGACAGATAGATAGATAGATAGATAGATAGATAGATAGATAGATAGATAGATAGATAGATAGATAGATAGATAGATAGATAGATAGTGTTAAACATCCAAAATATAAAAAGAGATAATTATTTTCACTTTTTTTATTTATTCCTGTGGTGGTAAAACTACAATTTCATCATCATTACTTCAGTCTTCAGTGTCACAAGATCCTTCAGAAATCATTCTAATATGCTGATTTGGTGCACACACACAAAAAAAACTTGAAATCAAAATATTTTGTGACATTACACTTAAAAATCGTACTGACCTCAAAGAGCATGTGTGTGTGTGTGGATAGATAGATAGATAGATAGATAGATAGATAGATAGATAGATAGTGTTAAACATCCAAAATATAAAAAGAGATAATTATTTTCACTTTTTACACCAGTGGATGTGACCCTGGACACCAACACTGCTCATCCTCGTCTCATCCTATCAGAAGACAAGAAGAAGGTGTGGTGTGGTGAAAGGCACCAACAAGTTCCCATCAACCATGAGCGCTTCGACCGTGTAGTCTGTGTCCTGGGCTGCGAGGGATTCACCAGTGGCCGACACTACTGGGAGGTGGAGGTGGATGGAAAGACTGACTGGGACCTGGGAGTGGCGAGTCATTCCTGCAACAGGAAGGGTAAGATCACAGTCAGCCCCAGCAACGGCTACTGGTTTCTTAGCTTGCGGGACAAGAGCAACTATGCCTTTAGGACTGAGCCTTCCACTGCCCTACCCCTCAGCCTGAGACCTCAGAAGATAGGGCTATTTGTGGACTACGAAAAAGGCCAGTTGTCCTTTTATAATGTGGACGCAAAGATGCACATTTACACATTTATGGACAACTTTTCGGAGACCATTTATCCATTTTTCAGTCCCTGTACCAATAAAACAGGCACAAATGATGCTCCGCTGGTGATCACGCCTGTCCTTCTAGATTGAACAGTGAAATGGAAACTTTTTATGAGCAAACATATGATTCAAAATGTTGTTTACGTTCATTTTTTTTTGCCTTGTACAGTAAATGATTTATCTGCTGCCACATTGGCACTTCATTTTCATTGATAACATAAAGAGCTTGGATCACTAGGATGACCATACTTCCAGGTTTTAGCTTGCTGTCTATAGTCCTCATACATTATATGTACAATGCCTGCATGCTACTGGTTAAACTTCCTTTCAGTCATTACCTTCAGCAAATATGAAAACAATAAGAAATCCTGCATGGCCAGGACATGTCCAGGAAAAAAAGGGGCCTTGGTAGCTCTACTTTCAGTACTCAAAGTCTTTTTATACCAACAAATATGCTAATTTACCTCAACAGGAGTTTTTAATTAATCTTCTCTTCAGGAAGGAAAGACTCAAATAATACAGTAGGCTATATGTTTCTTAAACAAGAATGCACTCCAATCCACTAAACAACGAATAGCCATTACTTTTCAGGCATTCAAGAGAAAATGAATACTTTAATACAAGACGAGTATTAGTAAATTCATGTTGTTTCGTTTGTAAATGTGCTTAATCTACTGTTGCAGGCCTATACAGTTAATTTGGTCTGTTTTGAAATGTAGCCTAATTCTCACACACTGCACTTTAAAGTTTCTGTTATGATGAGTGTACTTGAACACGATGAAATAAACATTACAGTGTCAGATGGCAAGTTTCTGCAGGTAATTTCTTGCTTTATAACATCCCACCCTTTCTCTCTCTCTTTCATATACCTTAGTATCAAGACTGGGCCCTATTTCCCAACAGTGGAGTGAGACTAAAGTTATACTGCTTACTCTTACATAATACCATTACAACCACCTCGTGTCTGTTAATGACACTGTAATCAACACTAACTGTCTTTACATTGTTGTTTTTACAGCTCTAGGTAACTCCCAAACCAAATCCTAACGGTATTTTCTGTCTGTGCATCGTTCGTGTTGCAGCATGTCAAAAAGTAACTGTCAGAGAGAAAATACCCGAGGGTTAACTGGAGACGGTGAGGCTGCGTTTCCTCAACGCGCCGCCAGGTGGCAGACCTACTGGTTTTAGAACTGAGTGCACTTTTTTGCTAACGTTTCCTAACGCAAACACGTGGTTACATTCATCTTCGCCATCTATCCAAACGGCCCTTTTATGACTTATTGGCATATAAAACTACATAATGCAAACTTCACAGATGCTGACCTGCCAAACGATGCCACTGCCAATCTGTTAGACTGCTCCATATGGAACATATAAGGGAGACCAAGGATGGTCACAACAGCAATAGCTCAGTATCTATTTTTCTGTATTTATTAGTCGTTTTGCTGTTTAATGCATTTAATGCATGTTGTCAACATAGTGTGTTCAATAAACATGTTTTTTTCTTTTGGGCATCAATAGTGGAAATGTTCAATATTTTTGTTGCTAAGATTTTAAGGTCTATTCAGAAATGTAATTTCAAAAGTAAATATAGAATGAGAATTATTAGTAAAACTGTGGCATTTAGTCCTGTCTCCCTATATGCTTTATTTAATTTGTCTACGTGCATTTATGAGTTTTGGTTGTTGTTGTTTTTTCACTGCTAAAAAAAAAGTAGAAAAAACAAAAAGGTATGGAACAGGTAAAACATCTGTGTTTTAAATTGTATTTAATAAATCCTTTTTTGTTTTTCCTGTTCTCTGGCACCAGCTATTTCTGTGTTTTATGTTTGATATTATAACTTCTAAAACATGACTAAAACTAATTTAATACTTGCATTAGAAATTAGTGCAAAAGTTACTTATGTAGCATCTGTAAATGTCATTTGAGTTCAACAAATAGGTATGTGCATGAAATGGGCATTCAAGGTCTACTATAAGGAAAATGAATACAAATATTAATTGTGGTCAGAAATTAACAGCCCAGACAGCATACCTGTCATTCTGCACACCTAACACTCCTTCTTTCACTCAAAGTCTTTCTCTTTCTCATTTGTGCTATCATGTCTTCATCTTTCCGCCTGTTTGCTTTTTTTTTTTTACCTCAGCCTGTTTTCCATTTATATACCGTTCTCTCGTCTCCTCCCATTATCTAGGTCATTTACAGCTAACATGACAAGAAAATATAAGCATTTTAGGACTTCATGTAAAGTTTGGTTTTCATATCATGCAAGCACTCTGCAGGCCTAAGTACAGCATGATCATTTTTGGAAAATATACAGTATGTTTACCGCCACACATCTCAGCTTAAGCGAAACTTCAAAACTGCAGCTATGGTCTTCAGAAACTTGCATGCCAACAAGAAACCGCTGGAACTGAGAATTGTCCTAATAGTTTAATTAGCATCACGATGGACTGCTGTTTTGTGTAGCCTACACTTGAGACGTTTTTGTTAGTTTAACTGTTCTCCTCATTAATAAGGTGTGAAATGCTGGGGAGGTTTAGGCCTCAAAAGTTTCAGTGCAACATCGTTCAAGTTTTATTTTCAGAGGAACAAAGAGCATGCCGTTGCATCTGGCAGTTGAGTTACAAGGAAACTATCACATCACTGGCTGTTCCCATATCTAATGCTTGGGCTAATGAACAATAAACAAATTTGAGTTAGTGTCTACACTAAAAAAATATGAGCCGCTTTGTCTATATTTAAATGCATATAGACTCTAAAAAATGCTGGGTTGTTTTAACCCAACTTTGGGTCAAATATGGACTAACCCAACTGTTGGGTTATATTTTTCAATTACATTTTTAACCCAAAAGTTGGGTTAGTGTATATGCACTTAAGAGAAAACCCCCAAAGAAGAAACTACACGTTTTTTTTGTACATGGCGTAATAGGCAACTTCAACTGTATACAATCGGTGTAAGATTTCTCTTTAGCTCGTCTTTGGTCACATCTTGCCTCGCCTTACCACATTACCTCTACATTCACTTCGCCGCCACCTTGAAGCGGAATTGTTAAAGGGAGGGGGAGACAGAGAGAGAGAGAAAACCGGTTGGACAGGTAAGACGCAGAGGCCGGACTGGGTCGGGTTTGTTGTCACCGTTATATTCAGACGCATGCGCATTGTTGCATATTTCCTCATGAAAGGTGTACCTGCGCTCTAATGAGCCACTGAAATTCGCTTTGTAGTGCGTCGGTTGAGCAGTTTGGACTCTTTACCTGCCACAAACATCACCTCCCACCTTGACAAAGACACCTAGCTGTGTCTTAACCTACCGGGCTGAGTGCATTTCCGAGCAAGACTTCGTGAATTCAGAGTAGCGGAAGACGGCGGAAGCGGGTGAATGTAGCTCCACGGAAACCTGTACAGGTACAAAAAGTTCGAGCTAGAGGTGTGCGCGTATAGAGCGAAGAGCTCGGCTCCAAACTGAGCAAAAGGCAATTGAAGACACCATCTAAGAAGGACCTCACACTCATTTTCTATTGTGGAGCAGTTTTTCCAAAAGTAGGTCGGTGTTTTTTTTAAAAGCCTGCTTTTTAATTTTGAGAGATAGCGGGGAAGGACCTCGGGAATAGACCATGCCACGAGCTTTCCTTGTGAAGAAAACGGGCAACTCACCCGGCAAGAGAAACTGGAGCAATCTACCAGATCACGAACGCGGAGACATTTATATTCCAGGTGAGACGATACAGAAGTAAACACCTTTTAGCTCACAATCTGGATAACGGTACGGATGCATCGAATGGCACGTTCAGTAACACGGCAGTTTATTCCCAGCAAGTCACGCGGCGTTTAAGTAACAGACCTTAGTAACAGCTTACTTGTGCATTTATTTATTTTTTTGTGTGTTTTGCTTAACTTTCTTTTTTAGTAGCCTACACTAGCCTATTAAAAGGTGCATACAAAACGTACCTAAATTTGACAATGTCTTTGTGAGTTATTGAACTAAAAATGCTCTTATAAAATGAGTTTGCGTGTAAGAGGGCCGTTATTGCTCCTTTAGTTGACCTTCAGACCCAACTGTCTTCTTTATAACATGAAACTCATTGCAACACGGTGCCAGTGGCCTACACAAAACGTTTAGTGCTCTGAAATTAAAGCGCATGGCCTCTCTTTATTTTCTACTAAAAGTTGATGTCTAGATTAGACTATAGTCACTGTAATCACGTTTAGATAATATAGCTAGGGTGATATTTATTTAGGCTACTTGCATTACAACCAAGTTACTGATAACTGCCTAATTTTAACTGTTTTTGGAGGTAAACCACTCGGCTATCATATTACTGCGGGTCACCTAACGGAACAGACTCTCAAGTCTTCATTATGAGCCCCTTCTTCAATTTCTACAGGCATCATCATATTACAGGCGTAATGACATATTCTGAAATATTTCTCTGTAGTGACATTCTTCAATATTACGGTTAACAGTAAAAGACGAAATGTGTGTAGGCTAGTAGAAATGTGACATTTTAAAAGAATGCGTTCAGATGGTGTTTTGTGTGTTCGTCAGCCTGCGGGCTTTTGTGGAAGTTTAATCTATTTGCATAACAGCCCATTCATAAACTGAACCGACTTGAAACAGAGACATTTATAGCACTGATTCATGCAGGTATGTCAGGAGGAGGTTGTTGTACCTGTTCCATTCGTTGCCATAACTATCACTGAGTTGTTTAATTAGGCTCATAAAGCGGTTTTAATCGTTGATCAAATTGATTCTGATATTCTTCTTACAGCAATCCTGACATGAAAGTCTAATCTAGCTTAATTTTTCTTTCTTTCGTTCTTTCTTTCTTTATTTCTTTCTAATCAATGCAGCATCCGTTTTAAGGCATCGTGGTCCTTTAGTTTGTCGTCCGTGATATTGGGTTTTGGGTTAATGTTTACAGCGGTGAAGGAAATAACGGGCTTCGCCGCGCTGTCTCCCTTTTCCCGCTACACCCTTAGCAAACACACACACACTCACTCTCTCTCTCTCTCTCTCACACACACACACACACACACACACACTCACTCTCTCTCTCTCTCTCTCTCTCTCTCTCTCACACACACACACACACACACACACACACACACACACTCTCTCTCTCTCTCTCCCTCTCTCTCTCTCTCTCACACACACTCACACACTATGTCTCTGTCACACACACACACACACACACACACACTCTCTCTTTCTCTCTCTCTCTCTCTCTCTCTCTCTCTCTCTCATACACACACACACAGCGAGTGTACCTTTCACCTCACTTTTCGATATCAGTTGAACAAACCCGGAGCACAGGCATTGTTATATATTTATCGACGTCTCCTACCCATTTTATGACTCTTGTTTTAACCCATTCGTTAACTCAGTTTCGTTCTTTTTAATAGTTTTATTCTACTTCGCTTTGCATGTGACACAAATAAATTATTAAATTGACTTTGAAGCTTTGATAACAAGAAATGTTATAATTTTGGGAAAAAAATAATAATAGTCATAATTTGGAAAATCTACATTAATTAAAAACTTGCTTTACATTGCTTGAATGACTGAGTGGATCATTGCAGACTTTATATTGCGTAATAAGATCAGAGATATATTTTTACTTCTTGATGCATTTAATTAAAATGCGTTTTCACTCATTATAAAAATAGCCTAATCAAAAATGTGTATCCGATTTTAATAGAATCAAATCTATTTGTGCTATTTAAGATCAAATCCGTTCTGTTGTCCTGCATCTTGTTATTGTTTGTGGTGAGACTGTCTGTGAAGGGAGGGGTTGGCAAACATCAGGGCAAAATAAAAAAGAAACAATCACTACTGTTTTTACGTGTAGCTTATGTTAAAAAGTAAAAAAAAAAAAATGTAATCAAATAAAATAAATAACAATATTTATAAATCACACAGACATTCTGGTCTTTTCGGCACTGAAGCTACTAAGCTGCCATCTGGTTTCTTCACGACAAGAAACCAACTAACTCTACAAGTCTAAACTTGGATTATATGGTCGCTATGAAATATAGATTGTTGCATGTTACCGTTAGGCACTGCACACATCAGATATTTGCATTATAATTTGCAACCCAGTCGATTGTGCCACAACAGAATCAACAGATTCATTGTTCAGGCTACAAGTATTAGTGTTTTTGATCATCTGAAATCTCCATGCAACCAATGTTGTCTCTCTCTCCTGTGACCTAATAATCTCTTCAGTGGATGTGTAGGGTATGATCGAACAACCTCTTAGGAAAGAACATGATAGTTTACCGGCAAACATTTGCAGATTATCCATCTGATGTATTGTGTTGCATGGAGGTTTGTATAAAGGGAGCTCAAGCTTGTGTCTCTAGTTCAGCTGGTCTGACTGGTAAAGCAGTAAAAGGAGTGGTTTGACTTCAGCCCGGCACAATACGCTCACACTCTCATGCGCATCAGCCA